GGCCCCACGTCCAAAGGCTAAGAACGTGGCCACGCGACCAATCGCATTACGGTACCCTTTCGTGGCCATTTCAGCGACACTGATGCGTGCCATTAAGCCTGTTTCGGTGCAAAATGGGAATGCCAAATGCCGTCGCTGGACTATGAACAGGTCGGGGGGCCAGCATTTGGCAAGTGCGGATTCGGGCAGGCCGAAGATACGAGAATAATTTAAAAGGAACGGCTGGAGGGAAAAGTGGGAAACTGCTGAAATAGTGGGGGCGGTAATAGAAAAAGCCGGAACTTAAAAACAGGAAAATCCAGAGGGAAATCCACGTCTTCCGGCCAAAAATCGAAAAATTGCAATTTTTTCAGATGAATGGGGGTAGGAAGGCTCTCGGTACATCTACCCATTTTCCCAAATAGTTCACGTTTTAGGCGGAGAACGATGATCATTGAAGCACACAAACAAATACGGAGGAATTCGTAAACAAAGCACTTCGACTGGGCGGGTACGGTAGCTGGGAAGAGACCGGGAAAGAAGGACACTGGATTTAGCGAAAACGATCTTATCGAGCGCTTTTTATGTGAGATGGAGGGGTACTGTAGAGAAATACCCTATGCTACTTAAAAAGTTCTTGATTTACCTACATACTGCCGATTCACAGAATGCCGATTTACAGAATGCCGATTTACAGAATGCCGATTTTACAAAATGCCGATTTACAGAATGCCGATTTACAGAATGCCGATTTACAGAATGCCGATTTTGCATATTTTAGGTTTTGCATCGAAACTAAGAACAGGATCCCATAAAAAACATTATCCGACTTGTACGGCGAAACCGCCAGATCTGAAGCTTAGCTTTTTCTTTTTTTTTCTAGAAACCCTAGTTCCACGTTGCAAAGGGGCCTCCCTTAGGTTACTAAGCTAACTTCTTCTATCGAACAGTTTTGCCTTCCTCTCGACGGGAGGCCGGGCATTCCCTACCAAGAGTCGTCGAGTTTTGTCGCTGTGGATCAGCTCGTGAGAGGTGTCGGCGACCAGCGAAAACGGTTGAAACTTGTCGTGAGGCTTGCGAGTTCCCGGTAATCCCCAGATACCTACGTGGAAAGAAAGAAAAAAGAAAAGAAAAAAGCTAAGCCTCAGGTATGGCGGTTTCGCTATGGCCAAGTCGGGTAATTTTTTTATGGGGATCCGGTTTGTGTTTTTTATGTAAAACCCAAAATATGCAAAATCGGCATTCTGTAAATCGGCATTCTGTAAATCGGCATTCTGTAAATCGGCATTCTGTAAATCGGCATTTTGTAAAATCGGCATTCTGTAAATCGGCATTTTGTAAAATCGGCATTCTGTAAATCGGCATTCTGTAAATCGGCATTCTGTGAATCGGCATGATCAGCTTATACCAAAGTTCTTCTATAAGAGGAGGTTCTGTAGAAGCAATTTTTTTATTTTTACATAAAAAGATTGAAACGCAGCTTTACGTAAAGCTAAAAACCAAGCTTTGACAAATTTCATTTGACTCAAGCCCGGTATAATAAGCCTTCATTTGATAAAATTTTTGTCTAACTCGATTTTAATTTTAACTTAAGCTATATGTTTAGGTCAATTCATCGATTTCTATTGCATAGCCAGAAGCAAATCTTGAAAATTCACTTCTATCGCAAAGTCCAAGAAGGCGATCAGTCAAGGGGAATCTCAGAAAGGAGCAGGACCCCCGCCTCAACGCTTTCTCTAGTGTGCTCACCCCCAGTCGGCTGGTTCCTGGTTCTTGCCAAAAGGGACGATGGGGCACGACAAGTTCATTCTGCTTTTTGATGCCAACTACCATAGCCTTAGGCGTAGCCAAGACGAGAGGATGATCATTTGCGGGTTTTCTTCACGTTTCATTGATTCGACACGGTGTCAATCGGCAGGGATCTGTGTTAAGACTTCTCGCGCATTTCAAGAAAAGCGGAAGTTTAAGCCTAAGCCTAAACCTAAGCCTAAGCCTAAGCCAGAGCCTAAGCCAGAGCCTAAGCCTAAGCCTAAGCCTAAACCTAAGCCTAAGCCTAATCCTAAGCGTAAGCTTATCCAGAAAGTCTCCAAAAATATCAAAAGTCAGGATTTCAGAAAATTTACTGTTCTTCCAGCATTTTTTTTAGGGTTGACACAGAAGCTGCTCAACGTCAAAGTTCCCTGACCTCCCTGAAGTTAGACCTCTCCGATTTTGCCGTGTCCGAGAGTACGTGAAAAACCGCCCGATAAAAACTGCAAGCACACTTCTCCACAAAAATGTTTTAAGGTTCCTGAACTCCCTACAGTAGCTTTCTAGCCAGCTTCCTGGTTCCAGCCAAGACACGCAAAGTTCATCCCCTCGAATCGACAACCCGATTTCGAAGCACTCGGATGGCTTGAGGGGGCTTGCAACCGGCTTTTTCCAGCTAGAGAGAGGGAGAGAAAGAGAGAGAGCGAGAGAGAGAGAGAGAGAGAGAGAGAGAGAGAGAGAGAGAGAGAGAGAGAGAGAGAGAGAGAGTAATGAGGCTTGCCCTAGAATCTCTGACCAGCCCGTGAGATGTGTGGATCGTTTCCTGCTTCTCCTCCCTTCCTCATGCTAAATGGCAGATACCCGGATCGGATCTGGCACTCCTCCTCGGGCTTGGCTACCCGGAATTGGCGCAGTGCGGAAACCGTTGCTTCTCACCCTGCAATGACGAAACTGCACAAATTGCGATGGAATCCGAAGCGAGGGATGAACTAATCGTTCTGGTAGTGAAGGGGGGCGGGTTTTAAAGGCCTTGGGAAGGCTCAGGCTAAGTTGAAGCTTGGAAAAAGAATCGAATACCGGAAAACAATGATCGTGAGAGAGAGAGCCAAAGAGAGAGAGAGGGAGAGGGGGGAGCGAGAGAGAGTTTGTATCTGCTCAAACTTAGCTTTCCTAAACGCGACTCCAAATGCCATAATTCCCCAAATTTCGACAAACTACTATCTCCAAGAAATTAGGCTCGGAGCTCCTCTAAGGATGATAATGCCAGTTTTTTGACATGGACCACCCATAGGCCAGGCAAACATACTTCAACATCACAGGAAAGGGCACCTTTTTGCACTGGAAGTGATATTTCCAAGAGGGGACGACATCAAGGCATACATGAAGACCCTGAGCCCATTATTGCTCACTTATGGCCTTTTGCGGATCCTTCTATCGCTCGAGACTATCGATGTGTTTTGAACGTCTCCGCGATATCCATTCAAATGGTTAAAATATGGCAATTTTTTGAGTTTTTCAGTCGAAAAGTATTTTTGAAATTGATTTTTTTAATTCAGAAGTTCCCATTTTGCGGGTCACCGTCCCTTTAAACTCTATCCACCGGCATAAATCGTCACAAAATAGCACGGGAGAAGTGTGCGATCAGGGGATGCTTTCACACATCGCTCGGCAAGGTGTCCAAATATGGACATATCGGGATGCTAATCCAAAGGATAGCCAAGCAACTTGGGGTCCCAGACATGCGCAAATTTTGGCGCCCGGAAACTCCGAAATTCGACCCTGATCTTTTACTAGAATTATACGAAAACATAGAAATACGAATTGTCCGAAATTCGTTTGCCAATTTTGAAATTTTTGGGTTGGCTGAACGGGACCGGGAGCAAAAGTGGCTTTTCTGATTTTCTACCCGCTTTTTCGCATGTCATCGAGATTCAAATGACAAAAAATTTGAGATTCCGGAACGGCTTCATGCCAGTTTCCCGTCCCTGTTCTTTTCATGCGAATTATCGAACTGCGAAACTGATTAATAGCCGTCGTTTTTCTGTTTCCCAATAGCTTTTCGTGGGTAACCAGCACCCATAAATTTCCCTCACAGTAGGGAGTCATTGCCCTGATTTTGGAGGTTTTCGGCTTCAACTTTCCTGGTTCAGGTGTGTGCTGACTTTGGAGGGTTCGAGGATCTTAGATTGGTTTCCACAACTTTTGAGATAGGGCCTATGATATGCAAAAACAGGGAATCAATTCTTTCCAATTTTTGCCGATAATTTTTATGTAAATGTTGCTTTTCCCGCTCTAGCCAAGCCATCCACGCCTGTAATAGGATTCGAGCGTTCGCGAATTTTGAATAGACCACGCTGGGCGGCGTTCCGACAGAGCGTTTTCAAGAAACTCTTTACAAAAAATTCCCACCCGGCACCAACGTCTTTTTTTACCGTTTCTGCCATAATTTGGTTGCTTTTCCATTCTTCCTACAGGATTTTCCATATTCTTTTTTGCAGAGAGCGCTTATCCAAATTACAAAATTTTATTCCCATTTTCAGCCCCTATGCAGAAGCTGCACCCCAGATTTTGGCTTGGTGTGAATTTCGGATTGCTGCTCTGCGTTTTATTTCTGGTTTCTTCGAACTTGGACGCAACTTTCTCTACTGGATTTATGTTGCGGGCAACAGCAAAAATAGAAATTGCAAGGAATCTGCTAGAAAAACCGCTGTTACTAGAAACGACGCCTTCGATTCCGCGGTAAGCAAGACTTTTCTTCAAAAAAGGGCTGGAGAGAGGAGAGCGAGGAGAGCGAGAGAGAGGGGGAGAGAGAGAGATTTTCAGGCTCCCGACTTCTACTCTGGACCCGCACAAAACCTGGTGCTCACCAACTAACAGAAGTTGGCGAGATCCCACCCAAAAATACCTCGTCGGATATCTCGGCATGCATCATGCCGGAAACCAAATGGGGAACCTGGTTTTTGAAGTGATTGGCTTCGAGGGGATCGCAAAAATGCTTGGGAGGTAGAGAAATTAGTTTTTTTGCTGTTTTAAATGGACTGGGAAGCGCTAAATTTTATCTCTTAACCCGGCAAGGTGTCGACAGGATATTTAAGAGTCTTGCTCCTAGAAGTTATGCGGATGCGTGATTCCGAGTTTCACGCAGCTGTCGAAACCTAGGCAATGGAAGCGGGTCGATTCTGCCTCGTCCTGTTCCCTTAAATGACTATAAATAAATCCAATAATTTAATTGCTATTCATTTCTTTTTAGTTTAAATTTCAGGACCCCAATAATGGTCCTGGGTGAAAAATTCCACGCCGAGTCGGGCCCTCAATATTGGGACAACGTCATCCACTTCCCCCACCTCTATGATGGCCTCCAGATTGTTTGCGATCCGTTCTTCAAGGTGAAAATTGCCCTTTTGTTGCCATACGTAAGTTTTTAGTTTTCAGAAAAGCGCCTATCCGTCGGTGAAGTTCCGTGGAAGGAATGATTCTTATGCTGAGGTGGAGAAGTGAGTTGCGTTTGTCGGAAGCGCTAGTAATCGGAAATTGGAAGTACATGCTCGACGGCTTGCGGAAATATCATGCTGTCGAAATATCATTTTGTCGAAATAATTTTGTAGAAATTCCATTTGGTCGAAACATTTGTTGAGGAATGCGGAAAACCTGTTTTGCGGAAAATTCATGTTTCGAAATTTCGACAAAATAAAGCTTCAACAGAATAAGGCTTCGACAAACGGAACTTTCAAGAAAATCAAATTTGGAAAAACAAAAATATATATTGACAAATTGGTTTTCGATAAAATGCAATTTCGGCAAATGAATAGTTCGACCAACCGATAGCAACTCATTTCGTCATTTTTAGAGCAAAACAAATTGACGATCAGATCCTAGTGGCCTCTATCAGCATGCTGCAAGTAAGCTTTTTCACCAGACAAAAAATTCACAGCCTTTCAGACACGACGATACTTTGAGTACTTGGGAAAATCATTACTCCGAGAACGCCTGAAATTTTCCCCCTTTATGATGCAAGTTGGAAAAGATATGATACCGTATCCGTTTCACGCAAGTGAGCACAGGTATGTCTATGAAAACTTAACTTTGGATTTCAAATTTTTGCGCAAAAATAAGCAATTTTGGAGGGCTTCTAACAAAATTAATTAAGTTTTATTTTTTTTAGACTCTGCGTCCACATGCGACTCAAGGATTTTAAGAGGTCCGGGACCCTGAAAGCCTCGGATCCGGCGTATGCAGCTAAAGCCATTAAGGAAATTATGAAAAGAGGTAGGTGGGTTGTATCAGGCTAGAAACTACGAAGTTTTTTTAGAAAATGCGTCCTTTACAATACTTATTTTCTCCGACGACCCTTATGCTGTAGCGTCGATGGTTGCGAATCGTAGTGAGTTTGCAGGTGAGCGAGAGATTTGAATTTTTTTTGAGGAATTTAGACTTGAAACCTCGAATCTATCAACCACCGCTAAAACCTTGGAGATATCCAGTGCCGAAGCACTTTACATGGTTATACCTAGGGTACTACTGTACTCATATACTATTAACAGGTATGTTTTGAGCGAGAGAGAGAGAGAGAGAGAGAGAGAGAGAGAGAGAGAGAGAGAGGAGAGAGGAAGAGAGAGGGAGAGACAGTGAGAGACAGCTAGAGAAAGAGAGAGCGAAAGAGAGAGACAGAGAGAGTGAGCTAGAGAAAGAGACAGAGAGAACTCGAAATTCCAGCCGCTCAATCGACCTTCGGCATCATCGGTGCCTACTTGGCTGAGGACTCCGTACCAGTCTACCACAGTACTTACTACGGCCCTAAAGCCGACCCGACGCATATGTGGCAAGAACATTGGATACCGTTGGAAGTGCAATAATTATAGGATTTTAAATTATTAAAAAATAAATTTATGCCTTACAACCAGAGAAAAAGGAGCTGAGATCTTTGGCTTTTGTTCAATTTGCCGTCGGCCAGGCACACGACGTGTTGAAACACTTCATGCCCTGAATCTCGCAGTCGGAGTCTGGAATTTAGAGCTATCTTTTAAGAAAGAGTGACACCTATAACTGACTCTTTCAAGGCATTAAAGCTGTTTAAATTTGTAGGTATTTGATAATACTACCTTTTTAATAGATTGAATTTCATCAGACTGAAGAGTTGCTGAAAACTCACAAAACATTCTGATTCGCAAAAAATAGCCAGGCTACAAACTAGCACTTTAGAACGGCTAGGTTCAATATTTTTTTGAGTAGTCCGAGCTAAAACTCTAGCTGCAGCGTTGTTAGTTCACTAGCTATTTAGTTGTCGTCGATTCTGGTATAGGCGAGAGAGAAAAAGAAACAGAGAGAGAGAGAGAGAGAGAGAGACAGAGAGAGAGGGTGAGAGTGTTGGCAAAGTTATGGTCGAAAGCTGATGCCACCTTTCCCATTCGGACAGGCAAAAGCCGTGGAGGGCCCCTGGCAGAAGCCAAAGTCAGAGCACGTCTGTTGGTTGTTAGGCCAGCAGTCCTCGTTCGAGTTGCAGCGGCCCGTGTATTCAGTAGATACCAGGGATAACAATGCTTGAAAAAAATTAAAAAAGGCGTTTCAATTGAAAAATCAATAGTATAAAAATAAGCTTACCAAAATTAGCAGCGCCGTCCTCATTTTCCGCTAGTAAAATAATAACACGGAATGACTTTGTGAAATAAATGGAGCAGCGGTTTGCTGAATCGATACGGCGGCTTTTCCTAATCCGGGCAGGTGTGCGGGGTGGCGTTGAGGTGGCACTTGATTACGTTTATGGGCGGAACACTGGAGTGTATGGAAGAAACGGAAGGCAAGAAGTAATCAAACTAGCCCGAGGATAGAGGAATTTAAAGGAAGTCAATGCATTGTAAAAGTAGAAATAATTCCAGAACTCTAAAAGTGTTCGCTATTTAGTTTTTAACCTAAAAAAGTTGCCTTTTAGAACACGATATAACGTGGTTTTTTCACTCGAGTATTAGGTAGACTATTAATGTGTTGTTAGTATTTGTAATACCACGCACTTTGCGCGTATCGATTAAGTGATAAGGAAACAAGGATTCGGGCGGCAGAGGGGAGTGTGAAGTCGGGCTCAAAACCGAAATGGGAAGCATTTCTACGGAAATGGAACAGAACAGTGGTCATGCCCCGTTCCGGGGCCCATATTTGACTTGTCGGCAAATAATGTTTGGTCGGTTTTATGGGGTTTGACCCCGGGAACGGAAGGACTAACAGGAAACGCACAGGAAAAAAACGTTTCTATAAAGGGCAGCTGTTTTTAAGAGTTCTTAATAATGGACACGCTCGTCAGGATTACGTAAAATAACGTAGCCCAACGTAAAAATAAAGCTTCGACAATAGACCAAAACAATGTGCAAATTTTCAAAATTTGTATAAATCTGTTTAGAAATGCTTCAGGTTTTTTTATGGGTTAAAATGAAATTGTTTAAACGCCAAAAAGAATAACGGTGTCGAAACTATGCTATGTTAAATTACGGGTTTTTTTTGCAAATGGCTGACCCGCATCGTGAGGTTGTCGATTTCTGCGAGCGTTCAATTGCTATTTTTGTATCACTGTCCGGAGCTTCAATTCTCAATAGCTACGTATTTCCAAATCCAAAATAGACAAAGAAAGCCGATGTTTCAAGTGGAAGCGTGCGTCGGCTTCTCCTGGGGGTGAATACCGGGAGTATCAGGTGACCGGACGAGTCGGACCTGTCCGCCCGCCGGACCGTATTGCTGCGCTGTTCTATGTTGTATTGTGGAAATTCCGGAAATTTGTGTTTTTTTACTAGCTTGATGACTTTCAGACCCCTTTAAAACCGGGTAAACTTGCCATTTTCCCTAGTTTGCGACGTGGGCATGGTATTGGGAGACTTAGGCTTAGACTTAGGTTAGAATTGGTCGTGGGCTGAGGCTTAGGCTCAGGTTTAGGCTAAGACTTAGACTTGGCTGAGGTGTAGGCTAAGGCTTAGACTTGGGCTTACGCTTAGGCTTAGGCTTGGTTAGGGCTTCGGACAGGCTGATGCCTAGGCTTAGACTTAGGTTTAAGCTTATGTTTTGCCTGAGATTTACTCAAGACTTTTTCGGTGCTCATCACAAAATTGACCAACCCCCGGCTCGGCATTCAAGCCTCTGCCGACACCTAGGTCTACACACAGAATTACACACTCGGGCCGGCGCCGCAGAATGATTTGAATGCGGAACGAACGTCCGGGGCGGCCTCCCACCCAAGATCAGTGTCCGCGACTGTCCAAACAACGCTGCTGGGTGGCTGCAGCCTGTAGAGGGGACCTAGTCCCCCTTGTAGAAGACTAGCGGGGGTGAGAGGGACAAGTGTTTGGGCCCCTAGGCCCCCTTAACCGCAAAAGCAAAAAAGGGGAGCGACCCGCTGTGGGAACGACCACGCGGCGGGGCTGAAGCCGCCGGTCACTCCTCTCGGCCGCTCCGACCGGGCCGTTCCGCACTTGCAACTTTGGTCCCAGCGGGCTAGTCCGCCCGCCCTAACTATACATACTTCAGGCCCCCGACGTAACAAGGACCCTGCAAAATCGGGGTCTGGTTCTGGGGTTTTTCTGGCACTTGTATATAGGCGTGGTGATTTGGGCGATGGGCGGGACGCGAGCTCAAAAATTTCTGTAGGTAGCGGAATTCTTTAGCAGGCTCGGATTCGAATCCAAATTTGACTGGCTCAGGAAACCTTGATTTTCTCAAACAATTTTTTTGCGGCTCCGAGCTTTAGCTGATGCTCCAGACCTCGGCAGAAGTGCTGATTTCGATAATAGGGTCGCTATGACTTTCCAGTTAAGCGTAATTGAATTTTTACTGGTTCAGGATTGTACTGACTTTTTTGTAACCTGAGGAAACGAATTTTTCAGATTTTTAATGCGTTTTCGGCATTGTTTCAAAACTAGTAAATTATAAAACAAATACCGAAAAATTTGCGAATATACAATTCCTATTTTTTACTCATTTTTCATAATTTTTCAAAAAAAAAATCAAAAATTCAAAGCTTTTTATCACCTTTATTGATTTTTTCTTGTATAAAAATACTTTGTAAAACGCTACAAAGCTTGTCTATATTTTTTCCTAAGAACGTACGCGATTAGAGTGAACGATTTGGCTAAGAAAAATGATATCTTTATATTTTCCTTCTTCAGTGTCTTCTTTTAAATTCATGAACGAATTTTCAATTTTTATAGATATAAATTTACCCATTTTCAGTACATGTGAAGCCATATCGCCTCTATCTTCGAGTTGTCCACCCCAAAAATTGCGCGCTGCATATGCCCTTGTCGCGATACTCGATATTGGCCACATTTTGTGGCGTCTTATTAATCTTCAGTTACTCTATTTTTCTATATTCCTCATCAACATCTGAGCTGCGATTTCGAAATGCTTCGAAGAAAACGCGCCAGATTCTGAGCAACGACGAACCGCTCGTTTTTATTGGCGGTATTCCGAGGAGCGGAACGACACTTCTGAGAGCCATGCTCGATGCGCATGAGAATTTGAGATGGTAAGTAAGGATATCATATAATATTTAGTTTGCCATTTTTAGCAAAATTTGCTTTTGAAATAAAACGGAATTTTAGTAGTTTTGTTGATTCTGGCGCTGAAATATGCAAATCCCGCTGAAATATTGTTTTAGTGGCGAAGAAACGATCGTCGTTCCATTTATTCTTGGTGATCGAGAGCGCTGGTCCAAAGGAATGTTGATAGGTAAAAAAACAAAATTTTTGTTAACGATTCCGTACGAATTTTGGTTGCTTTGCCAAAAATTGATAAAACAAAAAATGCCGAGCATGACCTCATTTTCAAAAAAGACAGGAAAATTCCAGGAACCAAAAATGACAAATTTATAGAATCGGATTTCCAGCCTTTCAATTGCTGTAAATAACTGTAATTGCAAAATCTATATTGAGGGTTTTGGTTTTATTGGAAGGGCTAGCTTTTTCTTCAGCATTTTCAGCTTCACCGACTGTTCCTAATAGTGCCTGGGAAAAAGCCCTAAAAGTTAAAAAATGAATTTTTCACTTCTGAAGAACGTCTAGGCTTCATCTTGTTCAAAATTCCACTCCAATCCAAATTGCAGGCACCCGCGTGACGGATGAGGTTGTCGACGCGGCCGTGTCGGCATTTATTTCCGAGGTTTCACCATTTACATATCGTAATTCATCCCTTTTCGTTCAGATCATCGCCAAGCACGGAGCCCCGGCCCAACGTTACTGTAACAAGGACCCGTTTTCCGCGTGGCATTACGAGTATTTGGGGAAATTATACCCGAATGCAAAGTTTTTGCTGGTAGTACGGTCAGCTGCTCAAAACGATGTTTTAATGATCCATATTTTAGCGACCCTCGAGCCGTCGTGCATTCGATTCTCTCCAGGCAACTGCCAGTTTCCGGCTTTATCACGAGTGATATTGAGGTAAGTGGAGTTTCTTAGGTTTTAAAGAGAATAGGACGCGTAGATCAACGGCTAGGTTTTGACAGCTACGAGAAATTCTATATACCTTTGCAGAAATTCTAAAATAGATACCTAATTGCCTTTAGTTCATGTGAAAATTGTGCATTTTTTAAGGGCCCTTGACCCGAGGTTCAAGGCGTCGTGCTCTAACGTCAAAACGGGGAGATTCTGGACCTACACAGACCCTTTAAAGGCCCCAGAAAGTCAAAAGTGAAATTCCTAGAAGTCTAGACCTAGCCAATGCAGGGGGCCAAATTAGTAGTCGTGTAAAGCCCCAATTGTAATCTACAGGGTGGCGATTAAGTATTTGCGCCAGGAAAGGCAAGCGTAAAAAATGACCGAAGCGTGTCTCGGAAATTATTTTACGACCATAATGTAGCTAATGTAACCTAATTACGGATACCAAAAAATCTACGGCCCTAATTCTTAAATTTTCAAGATACGACCTTTTAGAGAAGCGCCCAAACATTAGCGAGGGCCGCGCGTATCTCGTCCCTTTGTTTAAGCTTTTCTGCCTAAGTATCTCCGTTAGCCAAAATAACAAGTGGTTTTTATGTTCTTTGCAATGCGCTTTAGCGAACGTAGTAGACAGAAAAATTATTTCTAATCGGATCCTAGATTTATTCGTAGTTTTCTCGACCACCAAAATTGAGCCGCGCGGGAGGCTTTTTCACGAAAAACACAAAATGTCTCAAATTTCTACAATCACTTGTCAAAGATGTTTTCCATGACGGGGACTTGGTTAAGCGATCCAAACGGTCCGGAAAGCTAAGGGCGTTCAAAAGCTCAAAATGTTTGCACAAAACGATGGAATGAAATGCATGGTTATGCGACCCGTTTGCTCCACTCTTAAAAAATCATGGACTGGAGAATTTAGTTTTTCTCGCTCTAGCTGAAGTGGCTAGTAAAGAGACGCAAAAAATACCTACATTTTGATAGCAAAACGAAGAAGATACCTCAAAGGTGCGATTTTTTAGAATGCATTCTTCTGCGATAAGTCGCTCTGAGACAGGATGCGCGGCCCTCGAGCTTTGCCAAAATTTACTTTCGCTTCCGTGCCCTACTCAGGACTCCCTGTTACCCATACCCATTTTTTCTAGCAAGTTCAGATAGCTCTTTCCACGATCAAACATCGGGAAATATATCCAGCTTCTTCAAAAAAATTTCTGAGCTCCTCAAAAATGAAGAAAATCCATACAAAAAAACGCCGTTTTACATGTTTATACAAATTAAAATTGTGTGGTGAAGCGGTTTCCTGTTTTCACCTTGCATCTGATAGAGCAAAAAATTCTCTACAAAATGAACTTATTTGTTTTTTCTGCCGACTACGATTTAGCTCCTAAAAACGTCCTTGAAACAGGCGCAAATACTTAATCGCCACCCTGTATATTTTTAGGGCTGTTTCCGGGTGTGGAACTCGCACATGGAAAAGATGATCAAGCAGTGCAAAAGCGTTGGTGATCGGTGTTTATTGGTAAGTAAAGCCTAAGCCTAAGCATAGGTTGAGGCCTAAACCGAAATCTAAGCCTAAACCTAAGCCCAAGCCCATACCTAAAAGCGTTTTCAGGTCCACTACGAGTCCCTCGTCCTCACGCCACGCGAGGAAATGACGGATATACTGGAATTCCTAGAAGAGCCGTTCTCCGAAAAAGTGCTTGAGCACGAGAAGCTGATCGGCACGGATATACAATTAAATCCGTAAGTAGGCATTTAACGTAGCGGAAAATTATAGCCATTTTAGGCTCGAATTCAGCACCGGCCAGGTGACCCAGCGGCTCTACCAATCGGCACTCCATCTCTGGAAGAACTACTTTTCCGAGTCCCTACTCCGGAAAGTTAGAGAGCTGGCGCCACTGATGGAGGGAATTAGGTATATAATTACTTCCAAAACACATCAAAATTTAAAGACATTATTTGGTTTACAGAGATGAAAAATGCTTTTACCCGTTCCAGAATATCCTGATTTTTAGATTTTTTATCAATTTTTATCGCCCTGCTTTCATTTTTAGACATTTTTCTGAAAACTCAAGCTTGTAAAGCAAAATATCTCTACATTTTGATATATTTTAAAGCGGCAATTAGCAAAAAAACGCATTTACAGTGACAAAATTGTCGAGAACGATCCAGTCGGTTTTGCTTTGTTTTTCGGGCTTTTTGTGGGATTGAAATTTTGTAACTTGCCGCATTTTGTAGAGCAAAAATTCTCCTATTCAGTGGTATATTTAAACAACTATAAAATTAAGCTAAATCCCTAAGATCAACGAACAATTTTTCAGGCTACGTGCCCAGTGTACTCGACCCGGACTATGCGCAGTTCCGCAACACCAAGCAATGATGATCTCAACGCCTATCGCGACGCAGCCTAATTTTTCGCGGTCTCGACAGTACAAATGTCTCGTTTAGTATTTAAGTCTCAGTACAAAATAAATATTTATTTGAATAGTGCGAGAACTAGACAGAAATTACAAAGAGCTAGAGACATTCTAGAACCCGACTGCGTGGTTGTCTTGATTCCGGTCGGTTCTAAAAAGGCGATTTGTCTTTAAAATCGTAGGGCAACCTAACTCGTCGGCTCCGAACTGCCACTTGGTGCTCCAGAAGATACCGGAGTCGATTCTAAATTTGCAAGAATACCGTATGTCTGGCTCGCCATCTCTCTTTTTCTCTCCCTCTCTGTCTCCATCTCGTTCCCTCTATCTCTCTGCAGGGCGCTCTCTCCAACTCTCTCGCTCTCTCCAACGCTCGCTGGCTTTCCCGCCCTTCTCTTTCTGCTTACTTACCGGCTGGCGCTCCAGTCGACTTCGTACCTGCAAAAAACACATAAAATTCTCGAATCGAGCCCAATCGGATTTGACCGAACCGGTGAAGCCAAACATTTTCCGATGCACCATACTAACTTATGATTTGTACGTCCGCGCGACACGCAATGCGCGCCGTTTTCATCGTGTAATTAACTCAGATCCCTCCCGAGGGGAGCAAATTCATAAGGCTAGTTCCTAAAAAGCAAAAATATTATCGTGCGCGTCCCCCCAAAACCCCTTATTTTGGGCCCCACCTCCTCGGCTCGTCGTCACATCCGTACTATGCACATCAACATGTGTTGTATCCTTCGGCGCATCAGTCTTCCGTCCAGTCGTCGCTGCTTTTTTAGTAGGCTCCGTCGGAATCGGAGTGGTGGTATTGGAGCTTGGCTCTTGCTCCGTATATGATGTAAATCGGACCAGGAAATTTCCGGCGCCATCATTAGGATCGAAGTATACCTCAAAGAAATCGATATCAGAGGAATGGTGTTACTTACCGAGAAGCTTGGGCCATGTCCGGAGAAGGAGAGCTGGGAGGTAGAAGAGGAGAGACTGGAAAGTGTTTGTTTAGGCTTCAGCTAGGCATCGGCTTAGGCTTACAAGGAAACCTCCCCAGCTCGAAGTTGGACTTCGATTAGCCATCGAGCCTATCTGATGCAGTTTTTCACGCTGATAACGATACCGATATTTATTTTTGCCGAGGCGGGGCTGCCAAACATGACAAAACTTTAAATCGATTTTTAACAATGTTCCTGTGGCGCTCGGCAAAAATAAATATCGGTATCGTTATCAGCGTGAAAAACTGCATCAGATAGGCTATATGGCTAATCGAAGTCCAACTCGAGCTGGGGAGGTTTCCTTGTTAGGCTTAGGCATAGGCTTAAGCGTAGGCTTAGGCTTAACTTAAGCCTTTAAGCCCCTTACGCTCACATCAACTGTGTCTCGGTGCCGATCTCTAGATATAATTTTCCTGCCGGCGTCCCAGCATCAAAACGGAGTAGTTCAACGTGGAAAGTCGTATCGTCGGCGTATTTTTCTGGAAAGCCAGTTGTATGGAAATTTTCTGGCAGAAGAAGATGCGCTTTTTCACCTACCAGCCGGATCCACTGTGTAGATAGCCTGAATTTCCCTGGGTCTGTCAGATAGTTCTGTCGCTAAAAATGGATATCCTTGGCTGATCACAAAGCCTTCGTTAGTGGACACCATTTCAAGCTCATTTGCGACGTCCCAGCCTGAAAAATGTCTTGGTCTCTCACGCTCTCTCTCTCTCCCTCATTCTCTCACTCTTTCTCGCACTCTCTCAATCGCTCTCCTTTTTCTATTTGAACTATTGCCCTCCAGACTACAGGGTTCAAGGCAATTTTGGGTTGATTGGCGTGGGTATTATTTGTTGGTGGGGAGGGCTTGTTATTCTGCGCCCCCAATTTTGGGGGTCTGGCTGTTTTTGTGCGGGACTAAAATAGCGGCCAGACCGAAGAGACGGGGATTAAAGGCCAGGCGGAGAAAAGGGCAGCGAGAGACAGTGACAGAGAGAGAGAGAGAAAGAGAGAGAGAGAGAGTGAGAGAGAGGGAGATAGAGGCCGAGAGTTAGAGAGAGTGAGCTAGTTAGAGAGAGAGAACGAGAGCGAGAGTGAGAGCCCGAGAGAGCGAGAGAGAGAGAGAGAGAGAGAGAGAGAGAGCCATAACTCGAATTTCGGTTACATACAATTTTTTCTATAATTTTCGAACCAATTTTCGCATAGGATTTTATGTAAATTCCCATTTCACCCCTTTCTGCACCACCCTTTTGCCCCGCAAAAGCCCAAAGATCCCAATAAGAGGCCGACAAGAGGGCAGCCCCCAGTAGGGGGTATGGTGAAAGACGCCCGGCACAACAACAAAAGTGCAAGGACTCGCTACGCCCCAAAAACCGGGGTAAACACAACAACATTTTGGCTATATAAGGGACCAGGCTGGGTAGAAGAGCATCCCGACTTGACATTTCCACATCTATTTGCTCATAGAGGCTTGAAAAGCTACTTTTACGGCTTTAGAAAGCAGTTATAAGCTTAGAAAATGCTTCGAATACGTTAGAAAAATAGCTAATTTTTCATTATATATCTAAGATTTAAAAGTTTTTCGTTATTTATTTCTTAGTAAGAATATTGAGTTTGATATGCATTTCTGAAGACAAAAATACGATCCTAACAATTTTCTGAATTTTTTTCTGATTTTTCCGCCATTTTCGTGCCATTCTTATTTATCTAAACCTTTTCAGAAAACAACCACTACCTAACCATGTCCGGAATTATCGACAAGACCAAGGAGGCCGTCTCCAACGCCGCTGAGGCCGTCAAGGACAAGTACCATGACTTGACCGGCGAGAAGGAGTACCACAAGGAGGAGGCCAAGGAGAAGGCCCAGGACGCCTGGGACCAGACCAAGGCTCGCGCTTGTGATAAGGTGAGTGTGACTTTGCTGACTTAGCTTACTAGGCATAGGCTCCGGCTTGGGATTGGGCTTAGACTTGCTTTCCACTCAAGGAGCACCAACTTTACCTAATTCTCATTTTTTCAGAAGGAGGAGGCCAAGGACTTTGCCGCCGAGAAGCTCCACCGGGGAGCCAGGAAGATCGATGAGCACTAAATAGCCCCATCGACTCTGATCTCTACCCAACTCTACCTTCTACCAACATCCCAATGAGCTTACTACAACTACAACTTCAACCACGACATTCCCATACCCAAAACAAACTGCAAAAAATGTAAATTCGAAAATGCAAAATCAACGAAAAACTGAATAAAACTTTTGCCCGCATGGTTTGCAGTATTAATGACACGGCAGGAAAACACGAAGGATATTACTAATCGAGAGAGTGAGGGAGAGGAGGAGAGAAAGTGAGAGAGCGAGAGAGATAGAGAGAGAGAGAGCGTGAGAAAGCGTGAGAGGAGCGTGGGAGAGGGCGTTAGAGAGAGCGTGAGAGAGATAGCGTGGGAGAGAGAGAGCGTGGGAGAACGAGAGAGAGCGTGAGAGAGCGTGAGAGAGAGCGTGAAAGAGCTTGAGAGAGAAATCGTGAGAGAGAGAGAGAGAGAGAGAGCGAGAGAGCGTGAGAGAGAGCGTGTGAGGGAGTGGGTGAGCATGAGCGGGACCAAGTGGGAAAGAACTCACCATCAGCCGTCTGGGCCCAAATATCCGCCTCGCAATTTGGCGGCACCTCTACCGTAGCAGCAAAACCGGCGATAAGGCTTTTGGCGAAACGGCGCTCAAATGGGTCAGTTGCGCTAAATTGAGTAATTGTTGCTTTCCACTGGAACTAAGAAAAAGTAGGTCTGCTCGTGCTCAAGCAGCAGAGCTCAATATCGTTCTCTTTCTTCTACTCCCTTTAAATCCAAGTTAATCCTCACCCAAACTCAAAAATTTCATATTTTTCGGCTCCGACTTGGCTGGGAATTCCACCAGAATACAGAGTAATGGTACATTCATTCGGATTCGGCGCCTAAATTACAGTAATTCGAGGAAGAAACCGGAGAGAGAGAGAGAGAGAGAGAGTGAGAGAGAATGAGAGAGAGAGCGCATAAAACTTACAACATAAGGCCAAACATACAGCTGCGGACTCGGAGATCCTAACGAGTGAATGAAGGTGAAGAATTGGGTTTTATTCGCCTTATTCACCGACACTTGGTAGTCTTCGATAGCGTTTGGGATGTAGTAGATGGTACGTTCGGTGGATAGAACAGGATCGGTTACTGTAAAATAGTGTTCCAAAAGCTTACAGAAATTGTTAAGGGGATCAGGAAGCCAAAGCGCTCTTACTTACAATTCTTCCCTTCCAAGCTCCTGAATATCATCCAGAATTGATAGTCCTTGTTGAGCTCGAGGTTGTCGAGAGCCAGGTTTTGCTGAAATACTGCCTCTGATGGTAAGGCGGTAGAGCTAAAAGTTTAATTTCGCCATTGTTCGACAGTACCCACCTATAATTTGTAATCCCGTCCTGGATGAGAAAACTTGTCGCGTTCTGGCTGGCGAACCAGGAGTTGAGCATGATCATTGAATTGTCATCGGTTTCGACAAGCAGCATGATCTGAATTTTGAGCAGTCTAAGCCTAAGCCTAAGCCGGTACCGTTTTGCTATCCTCCAGTCGAGTTCCATCGAGTACAAATGACGCATCGGTTTCCGTCAATTTTATTGTGATTACTTGAGCAAGACCTAATTTTTTGCTATATCTTCATAAACCCCGAAGCCTACCGTAACTTAGTCCAATTAGAAATACGCAGAGCGTTAGAAAAATCTGCATTCTTGGCCGCCAAGAGGAAGATGAAGAATTCTGGTCTTATCGCCAGCCTGTCAGTAAGCACATTGGCACGCTAAAGCTGATGAGCTTCTTAGGACGGGTTAAGATCGGTGAGAGTTTTTTGTCCACTCAATTCTTCTCTCTCCCTCACTCTCCCTCACTTCCCCCTCCCTCTCCCTCCTCCCTCTCCCCCTCTCTCCCTCTCTCTCTCTCTCTCTCTCTCCTCTCTCTCTCTCTCCTCTCTACCTCTCTCCTTCCCTCTCCTGCTCTCTGTCGCACGACATTTCGATCTCTCTTCCGCTTACTCAATTTTATTAGCTAATTTTTCATGTTTTTACACATTTATTTCTGCACGCCAAACTGCAATAATTAAAAGAGCAAGAACTTTTATAATTTAGCACCGATTAAACATAGAGATCAGTATCGTGACAAGCACGAAAAATAGTGATAATTGTCCAGTGGAGTTTGACGGAATTAGGGAGTATCTAAACATATAAAAATATGGTTGCAAAAAATCTCTAAATCGTACTTTAAAACCATTCCTTTTTCACAGGGAATTTTTCATTTTCATGTATAGGATCGACACGTTCGATTGGCTAGTAGTGAAATCGCACGCTCCGTTCGAGGCGTTGAATCTGGAAAATTGGTATAATCGAGAGAGCGAGAGAAAGAGAGAGAGAGAGAGAGAAGAGAGAGAGAGAGAGAGAGAGTCACTCACTCCGTTTCCTGCGTTCCGTTTGCACCAAAAATCAAGAGTCTGGAAGCCCCGAGTACTGGGGAAAGTAGTTGAAGATGAATTTTGCTGTCCTGCTTGCTGACGTCATCCTAAAATCAGAGATTTTTCGGCTTATTGCTATTTCTTGCGACTCTGCATCAGTCTTGTACTTGCACTAACCTTTTGTAACTTATAGCCAGTCACAAATCCTCCAGAAATCGAAGCAGGTCCCGCATAAGGTGGCGAGTTCAGGACCCCAGAATGCCCCTTCCTGACCTTGAAGGTGTAGTCGCTGTTTTGGGCTGGAAAAAATTGGGATTTGCTGACCCTTCACCTGTCTTACTCAGATATCTGGCGCGCCAGGCCACTCTACACATCTTCGTGCCGTGCGTATCAAAAATCATATAGCGATTGGCTACGAAATCCGGGAAGCCGTCGCGAGGTACGGTAGATGAGCAGAGGGTGGAATTGCCGCTAAAAATTTGGATTTTGTTCGAGTTCCTTCTCTGCTCCACGCTGTCTCTCTCTCTCTTTCTTGCTCTCTCGCTCTCCCGATCTCTCTCTGTCTCTCTCTGCCTTTCTGTCTCCCGCTTCTTTCTGTTTGAGTCACCCTGACTCTCCCGCTCTCTATCACACTACTATTGACCTGATAGCTTGTGCTCCATCTCTCTCTGCCTCTCTCTGCCGCTCTCTCATTCTCTCTCTATCTCTAGCTCTCTCTTGCCTACCCATAGATTTTGGTCTCATCCCCTCGATACAAGCTTTTCCAGATCATCAACGTTTCGCAGTCGCCCACCGGGGCATCAAAGAAAATACCGTTATATCCAGAATTATCTTTCGAAGTCTAAAAATTATCTAATTCAATTTGAATGGCTATACTTCATATTCTTTACATTTTATAGCAGTTTCACATCTCTAAGATCTGACGTACATACCTGATACAAGACATAAGTCTGCCCATCCTTCGTAAAATCGAAAGCAAGCTTTTGAGAGGGATCGGGGGGCTACGGGCATAAGGTTGTAGCTGTTGACTGGTACTAAAAAAATCGAGATTTTTGCAAAATTATCAGGATCCAAATTACATGTCGACATCAGCTGGTGGTAGCTGCTGGCATTGGACTGTAGCCGAGTGATACGGATCGAGATTGGGCCCGTCAGATTTGCGTACGTGGTCGTGTAGTTGCATCTAAAATAGGGTTCCGAATTGAAAATTCCGTATTTTACGGTTTACCGATTTTACATTTTACATTTTTGCTTTTTATATAAATCTATAGCTTTTTGGTACTATGACAAATTTGAAGTTGTCGGGGGAAAAAGCTAAAATTGCGTTTTTGATCTGTTTTTTGGAGGTTGATCGTTTTCCTTGCAATATAAATAATTCAGGATTTTAGATAAATTTAAATCCGGGCAGCAATATTTCCTATATCTAAATCTATATCTATCTGTTCTAAATCCGGGTAGTTTTTATTGCTTCTTAGTAGTTTTGCAGTTTATGCAAAATTGGCCTACCCGGCGATGACGATCGGTTCTCCGGTGTCCAGCTCTCCTTTCCAAGCCTCCAAACTATGACCGAGAAGCGGCTGGAGGCAATGAGCGTTCATGAGCCTAAAAGCTGACATTTTTGTTGCACGAAACGCTGAAAATTTTTACTCTAGAATACCATGATGTAATGTGTTGTCTTATCTGCGTTATGTTCCGTATAAAGCGGCTAAAAACGCAAAAATCGACCCCAGTTGTCAAGCCACTAGCTTACTTGTTGCCACATTTCTCCGTCGACAACCGATATGTCACCGAGCCGTTCACGCCAGCTAGCATATCAGCATGGACCGCCTCGAAGGGGTAGTTGCACATGTCGATGTCATAGCTGGCGAATGGGGCCGGGGCATCTGAAGAATTGGCTTTAGGCCTAGGTTAGGCTTAGGCTTAGGCTTAGGCTGGGGTGAGGTTAGGTTAGTCTTAGAATCAGGATCAGGATTAAGTGTATGTGTAAGCTTAGCTTCTTAATAAAAAACACTTAATTAAAAATACATTTTGAGCTGCAAACCCACCTATAGGGGTTTTTTCGAAAGCAAGTCCAGCTTCTTGTTGCTTCACGGCCTGAAATATGTGCCTTAAATGTAAAAAAAGTTGCAAAAGGAAAAATAAGTTTTAATAAATTACGATTGAAAAATTGTTTAAACACAGATGTTTTAAGTAAATGTAACAATTTAAATAAACTTTAATTTTATTTTTATTAATTTCCGTACGCCAAAAGCTTACTTGTTGCAAAGAGAGTCCCGTCAAAACAATAGCTATCAGCAGCAGATTCGTAAACATAAAGATTCGATGCAGGGGCGAAATGAAGAGAAATGCAGCGTGCACAAAATAGATATGACTGGGCGCGGTGAAACCGAGCCGCAAAAGCAGAGAGGCGTGGTGTGTTCTATTTTCAAAGACAACAACTTGATAAGCCTTCCCTTTGCCAAATGATCAATGACAATACGGTTTTTGGCGTGTGCTTATGGCGTTCAGAAACGGGAAAGGGCGAAAGTTCAAGTGTTTTCCGGACTTCATTGAATTCTAAGAATGCCACAAAATTCTACAAATTCCGGATTTTGGTGTAGCGGCAGAGAACGTTAAATGCGTTTTGCAAAGATGTAGCTTGTGCTGTCTCGTATTTCCGAAGACAATAATCCAATAATTTATCATTGCCTATACAAACGATCGGTCCTTGTAGTTGTTCGGGTTATAGCGCGCGACAACGGCCTGCTGGTTAACCACTAAAAATTTCATTTTTTTGAGAATGCTAGGGAATCTTTAGGGGAATTTTTTCGTGGTAGCGCACAGCGATCAAGGACTACCATGAACACCTCAAAACGAAAACACCAAAAAATCGTACCGTCAAAGACGTTGGGCGCCGAAAACAGGATGCCGATCGTCCCGCCGAAGGTGATCCCAAAAATATGTACAGCATCAACCGGTCCAGAACGATCGCTACAAAACGCCAATCATCACGGTGTTGAAAGAGAGATTTGAGAGAGAGCGAGCAAGAGAGCGAGCGAGAGCGAATGAGAGGGGAGATAGGGAGATACAGAGAGTGAGAGAGCGAGCGGAGTGAGAGAGCGCAAGCGAGCGAGAGAGAACGAAAGAGCAGAGAGTGAGGGAGAGCTACAGGAAGAGAAAAAGCAGTCTCAAAAAGACTCACAACTTTATTCTCCTCTTCGTCCCTAAAATGTTCCGTGATGTACTCGATGGCGTCGATCGCCTTAATCGCCTCCGGCGTCAGGGGGTAGAACATCGCCGTTTGCGGGTCCCGCGGAATCGCGTCGTTGGTGGTGGCGAGGATGCGAGTGCTGTAGGAAAGACCAGGTTTTAGCGAAACAAAACTCTCAACCTCAAACTGGCGTTCGCACAGTACGGATGGTGGGCGGCTGTGTTCATCGTGAACTGCCCGATACCGGCGAGGGCTGTGTTGAACTTGGTTTTCTAGAAGCTCAGGGTTAACTGTGGCTTTTTCTCTTGCTGTCTCCCTCTCACTCTCTCTCTCTCTCTCGCTCTCTCTCTCTAGCGCACTCTAAATCACTCACCAACCTTCTCACGCTTTTTCAACGTCTTCGGTGGCTTCATGCAGATGAAGTGGGGTAGAATCTAAAATTTTTTGATTTCTCGGCGTTCAAACACGTTAACCTCCATGAAGAACCAGCGGACCCAAAACGGCATCCGATGGGTGTGAGGGCCCCGGAAATACACGTTGATGATGATCACCGTCACCAAAATGGTGATGACGTTCAGGACAAAGGTGAGCAGGAGGTATCTGAAGGATAAAGCTTATAGACCGAGCGACCAAAGCCATATGGCTCCATATCTTTGAAAAGGGCCGGAGTGTTCGAGGAAGCCGACGATTGCAAGCCGTTCGACTAAAATCCGGAAAACTTGCAGTCGCCCGGATCCAAGTCGTTCAAGTCGACGTAGAGATTCAACAACTCACTTCGCCATCAACGGGATCGTGCTGGAGGTCGGTGGCAAAATCTTGGAGACGAGCAACAGGAACACGACGATGGACAGCAGCACGGAGATGGTCAACGTCATCTTTTCGGCTGAAATTTGAGGTGCCATCTCTCTCTCTCTCTCCATTTCTCTTTCTCTCGCTCACTTGAATCAGTTGGCAAGAAGAAGACGGCCATCGACAGGAAGGCCATCAGGACCGTGGGGATGATCAGCACCACAGTGTAGAAGAGGGTTTTTCTTCTGAAAGTTTGGCATTTATAGTGATCGCCATCTAGCAGGCATCCTTTAGGAACCATCAAACCCTGAAAATCCTACCGTATCCGGATCTGGAACTCGATCTGACTACGATTTTTCACGAGAGTGGCTGGCGCATCCAGCAATGTCCCAGATGGACGAGTTGGAGGTACACTTGATTTCAAGCTCAAAAACCCGAAAAAGTTCAAAAAACCTGAGAGATCAGCCCCAGGGATGGAGACAAAATCGAGCACGACCTCTTGAGCATTGTACTGAAAGTTGTTTGGTTACGGTAGTTGGGGCGAGAAATACCGTCCAAGACCCGAAGCGCATGTAGCAGATCTGTTCGTCGAAGGGGAAGTATTCGACGTCTGGAATTTGGGAATAGAGAGAGAGCGGGAGAGTGAGAGGTAGAGAGAGAACGAGAAAGAAAAGAGAGCGGAGAGAGAAAAAAAAGAGAGGGGGGGAGACTTACCTATACCACAGGAGCTCTTGTAGATGGCTGGCGGCACCCACAACATCGAGCCGTTATTTTCGATTACCACGTTGCACATGAAGGATACCTCAAAGTGGCCGTCGGCGCTTAAAATTAGGGGTTTTACCCAGGGGGAGAACGCGACCGGGCGAGAGAGAGAGAGAGAGAGAGAGAGAGAGACAAGAAAAAATGGCCAAAAAGAGAGCGGAGCCACCAGAGAAAAATCTGTACTTTGTTGAAAAGGACAACGTCTGGGATCCAGAACTTATCAGGCGATACCTAAATGATCTGAATATCCCCGTAATCGCCAGGTTCCACTTCATCTGAAGTCGGTCCGACTCTAAGGATGAAGAATAAACAACGCCTTCCTTCCTTGAATTCTGAACCTACCATCGTCACCCAGACGTTGGTGTGCATAATTTGCTCTTTCTCATCCTGAAAAATGAAGCGTTATTCTCTTTTATCTCTCTTTCTCTCACTCTCTCCTATACCTCTCTGTCTTTCTCGCTTTCTCTCTCTCGCCCTTTCGTTTCTGGCTTACCACATTGATCAACAATTGTAACTGCCTGGCGACATTGACGACTATCGGAAGCTGGTGAGGTTTCGGACCGGCTCCAGTCCGGAAATCTTATGGTTTCTACCCAATCGAAACTTACCAGAACTGCAAATTATTATACCCCCGGAAAGCGTCCATCATCAAGCATTTGCCTGCTCCGGAGCATTTTACTAAAAAGATTAGGCTACAAAACGTATGCCAAGCTTAGTGGCTGCTATTTGGCTTTTAGCTTCTAGTTTCCGACGACCGACCCCGTATACTAACTTACAGGCCAAAAGCAAGAGCACTAATACCCATGCAATATGTATAGGCAATAATGGCGTCATCTGGAGAAGCAGTTTTTAGAAGGCCTGGACGTCGAGCCGCATAGATGTTGTTCGGAAGTCCTGGGTACAAAGCTATATTTCGGTGTCGTGAACCTTTAAGTGAGCTGAAAAAAAACACAATTTGCATATTTATCAATTAAAACTGTAAAAATCGCAGTCACAAGCGTGGGATGCAGAGAGAAATAGCAGAAAGAAAATTCGATATCAGGAAAATAAAACCATTTAGATGAAAAGACTGTAGACGACAAAAATTAAATCCGAAAATCTGTTTCGAAATTTTCAAAAATTTTTGGTAAATTTTGAAATTTAAAAATAATGCATCAATTAAAAATAAAATCCAGAATCAAAATCAAAATAAAACTTTTGTATTCTTGTGGCCCCGCTGTGCAAAATAGGCACCAGCATAGAAATCACCATCAAGACTTAAAAAATAGCTAGTACGACCCTGAAAGTAACCTTTTCATCTCACGGACTCCTAAAATTTTCTATAACAACGATTCCAAACAGGTTCCGAGCCTCCCAGAAGGAACAAAGGGCCCCGGCTTTTAACAAATGCGCAGGCAATAGGGACACCAATTTATGAGAAAGAATTCGGATGAGCCTGACGCTTTCCCAAGTGGGGCTCACGACTCCCTTGCTGGACCTCTTGCCCCAGTGTAATCCTGGCCAAACCTGCCGCTCCGCTGCCGGCGCAAGGGCCCAGGAACGCAGGAGAGGAAGGAAGCAAAGAGGCGGGAGGAACAAGTGCGGATCGCAGAATGGGAAATGGACATGCACTACTGGCTATTTTCTTGGTTCTTTATTATGATATTTGAGTTTTGAAGTCAGATTGAAGAAGTTATGACGCCTTTTTGTAACCACGAAAACTAGCCAGAGCTGAGTTGGACCCCCAAAGCTTGGAAGAAGAGCCTCACGTTTTTGCCTAGCGGACGAAGAGGAGCTCTGGCTGCTTGCTCGTGCTCAAAATCCGATGCTCCTTAGAACACGTTTTCGCATGAAGAAGGCTTGAGCATTTCTTGAAGATTCCATTGTCGTCAAAAAATGTTTTGGGCTATTTTTTGGTCACTCAAAGGACCTATTTACGAACATTTGTCACGGCAGTGAGCCCAAGCACACCTGACTTTTGTGACGCCAGAGGCTGTAGGCTGTCCCTTTAGAACTCCCCCCGAGAAATATGAGCTGGAGATGGGAGCAGGTGTGGTACTAACAGGGATACCAGAATTTTTGGCCCTATCGAGAGAGAGAGAGAGAGAGAGAGAGAGAGACAGTGAGAAAGAGGCGCGACAGGGAGAGGGAGAGACATGCGCAATTGACGCCAAAATTATCCGATGCGCCGTTTATGAGCCAGTCCTAGAAAGCCCGAAGCTAAGCTAGAAGCTTCAACTGCTTAGCTCCTCAAGAACATGAAAATCCAAATTGCGGAAGGAAAAATCTCTTTTTGTGGTTGAAATTTGGGAACAGACATAGGTGGGCCATATCTACTTCTGGGCCATCGAAGCCGTCACAAAGGCATACCGACACATTGGGGCCACAAAAAGGGAGAGGGAGAGCGGAGAGAGAGAGAGAGAAGAGAACGAGAGAGTGTCAGGAAGGGCCTTAGTCCCGCTAAGGTGTTCCCTTCTTCTCGATATCTAACTAGACAAAGCCAAGAAACGGCGGAGGTGGCGACGAAAAAGCAGGAGATGAGGGAACCGGAAGATGGAAGGTTGCAGGAAGGGAAATTCCACCCCTAACGAAGTGATGCATTTCAAATTTAGGGTTGGTGCAACTAGACCTGCTCGGCCCCGAAGTGCGATGAATTCGCTGGACCTTCCCCATCTTAAAGTTCCGGAAAGTTCTTTTCGGCCTTGAATTTCGGCACCGGGACCCGGAATTTCCCCGACATTGAACATTGAAAATTATAGAATTTAAATGGGTTGTCGGATTTTGCTTGTGAATGCCATACTTTTTTAGCGGATATTTTCGGCTGTAATACCAACTGATTCTACGCTCGATATTCGTATATGCTTAAAAATGTTCCATCTAGGTGTTTTTCATCAGTTTTTGGGGCTGAACAGATCAGGGAGAGAATGGATAAATGCATCATTCATGCATCCATCCTCCCGCTTGCCAATGGCTGGGGGTCGGGTCCATTTTCCGCTTTATTGGGGTGGGCCTACCCCTCCGAAGTGATGGGGCCCCTAAGTGGATACAACGAAAGGGTCTTCTCTAGGTCTTCTGCTGGTTAAGGTACGATTATACTAGAATGGGGGCAGGATAGCGTCGATGCTTGAAGGTGGAAAAGTTTTGGCCTCAGGGCCTTAGGGAACCCAGGCCTAAGCCTAAGCCAAAACCTAAGCCTGGGTACTCAATTTCTCGAATCTATTTTCGATGCCTTACTCTTTCCGGCGCCTGAAAATCATAAACCGCGTGCAGTGAGGCTGCAAATGTACCCGGGTGCCCAATTCAGACTTTTTCAATATCGCAAATAGAATCTAGCCGGAATCCGATGTCCAAAAATCGGTCATTTGACCCGGGAGCAGCAGAGGAGCATTGTGGGGAGGAGCAGGATAAAAGCCTCGCACCGGGGCATCCAGTGGACTCGATAAAAACACAATTTATCCGTCCCGGCTTTGGCCAAGAATTGGCCTCCTGGGTCGCCCGCTGCGCGTTTCACCCTGCCCGACTATAAAATAACCGGATGCGGGGATTGGGACACACTTTTTTCAATAACGTTTTGCGCTCTATATTTCGAAAATGATTTCACGTGTGTTGGTCATCTGCATGCTGCTACTCGTGATCGGTGAGAAATTTTGAGAACATTAAATAGAGAGGGCACAGAGAGAGCGGGCGAGATTGAGAGGGAGAATAAAAATTTTTAAATCCCCTTAGCCCCAATCATCGAAGCTCGAGAGCCATCCGGAATGAACTTCATCCGCCGGATTCTGGAGTGCACCCCGCCTGCGCTTCGACAACCTGATTGCCAGCTTGCTGACTTGTTGCAAGGTAAAGCCGAAGCCGAGCTTAAGCCTCTGCTGATGCTTGGGCCGATGCCTAAACCTGAGCCAAGCCTAAGCATAAGCATAAGCCTGATCCTAAGCCTAAGCATAAATGAGTCTAAGTCTATGCATAAGCCTTATGCCTAGTCTAAGCCTAAGAATGTTCCCCACCTCAGAATCGCAACGCTGGCAACTACGGCTTCTGCACCGGAAACAGACATTGGTATGATATGTGCAACGTTGAATACCTCCCAGCCTCAAGTCGGAATTTTATTTTTCTGATTTTTCTAATAACATTGTATGTATTTTTTTCATCAACAAGCCTGTATTATAAAATACATTTATGTACACAAATTATCTCCACAAAAATACATGAATAAATGTGACAAAAATAAGCAACATTTTTTAGTTTTAGACAAGTTTTGGACATACTCGTACATAAGCTATGCGATTCAGGGAGGGAGGGAAATAGCTACTCAGTAAACAGGTTTTTTACAAAATTACAATACACAAAAAGCGGCATTAAAGGGGGTAGAACGGAAAGCACAAACGCTAAAAAGATTGGGGTAGCGGGCGGGTGTTATTTGGAGCCTAAGAGACTGTAGAGAGGGCATGGTAAGTTTCAGAATGCTTCAAAAATGACAATAATTGCAACAACCAGATGAGAAATGTGGTGAGAAAAAATTTTGAGGGTCTAGAAACTTTGGCCAAAAGTTTTTATAGTTTTTCAATAGTTTTTTATAGACTTGTGAAGCTGGCTAAGCTTCAGGAGTACCTTTTAAAATAGAAAACTGACATTTTTAGAGTAGAGAATCTGACTTTAAAGGGCCACTACAGTAGAAAAACACATTGAAGGGGGCAGGAACAATTCATCGAGATCAGCTACATTGAAATTAGTCCACCTCCTCAATGGTCGGGCCTGCCTGGCGAGCCTGCTGGCCACAGCTCTGCCTGGCTCCGGGGTGACCTCCTTGCTGAGGACCAGCCCGCTGGTACATCTTGGAGATGATGGGGTTGGCGACGCCTCGAGCTCCTTCTGCATCTCCTCGAACTCGCGCTGCTCGGCCGTCTGGTTCGAGTCGAGCCAGCGGGAGCGTCTCCTCGCATTTCGTCTGGATTTGCCGTAGGTCGAATCTGCTGAGCGATTTGCTCTTCTCAGGAAAAAATCTGATAAGTTTTGAATCTGATCTTTAAAGGGAACGTGACAGCTTGAAAATTCTTGAACACCTACCGCATCATCGTTGATCGTCTGCTTCAAGTTGAAGGCGTACGCCTCGAGGTTGTTCTTGGCGGCGATGCGCTCCTTCAATGCTTGTCGTCCTCGTCCTTGTACTTTTCGGCTTCTTGGACGAGGCGGTCGGGATTTCTTCCTGAAAATTGGATAGTTAATTTTTGGATTCAGAAAGCGATACCGATAAGCCCAAGCCGAAAGCTAGCTTACTCACCTTTGACAATCGTCCCTTATCGTTCGTGATCGTGATCTTGTTCTGCTTGCCGGGTCGACTTGTCGGCGGCGGTGACGTTGAGAATTCCATTCGCATCGATGTCGAAGGTGACTTCGATTTGGGGCACGCCCCGAGGAGCCGGCGGAATGCCGGACAGCTCGAACTTGCCGAGGTGGTTGTTGTCCTTGGTCATGGCGCGCTCACCTTCGAAGACCTGAAAAGATGAGATAACTCAGATTCATCTGTAAGCCAAGCTAGCTTAAGCTTCAAAATCTCTAAAATCCATACCTGAATCAACACGCCGGGCTGGTTGTCGGCATAGGTGGTGAACGTCTGGGTGGCCTTGGTGGGGATGGTGGCGTTTCCTTGATCAGCGGCGTCATCACTCCACCGGCGGTCTCGATTCCGAGCGACAGGGGGCGACGTCGATGAGCAACAGGCTCTAGACGGTCTCATCTTTGTCGCCGGACAGGATGGCGGCCTGAAAATGAACAGATATTTCTTGATTTTCAACATATTTTAGATCTCTGTGTCTCCTCCCCTCTCTCTCTCTCTCTCTCTATCACTCTCTTTCCCTCTCACTCACCTGAACAGCAGCTCCATAAGCCACAGCCTCATCCGGGCTGATCGACTTGTTCAACTCCCTTCCCGGAGAAGAAATCGGGAGAAGCTTCCCTGCACCTTCGGGATTCGCGTCGACCCTCCGACCAAGACGATTTCGTGGATCTAAAAAGAAATTAAATCCAGAATTTCTAAAAACAACTGCACTGCTTGAACTTGATGGAAACCAAATGCCTACCTGTGACTTGTCCATCTTGGCATCGCGCAACGACTTCTCCCACGGGGTCCATCAACGAGCGGAACAGATCCGCGCACAGCTCCTCGAAGCGCGCCCCGGTGATGTTGGTGTCGAAGTCGATGCCCTCATAGAGGGAGTCGATCTCGATGGACGCCTGGGTGGATGAGGACAGCGTGCGCTTTGCGCGTTCGCAAGCAGTTCGAGAGACGTCGGAGGGCTCGCGGATTGGTAGTGAGGTCCCTCTTGTTCTTGCGCTTGAACTCCTCGACAAAGTGGTTGACCATCCGGTTGTCAAAGTCCTGAAAAAAGAAAGAGTTAATTACCGAAATTTGGAGGATCTGAAGCACTTCACAAAGTCGTCGATAAATCTCGCAAAAAATGGGCTGACGTTTTATAAGTAAAAAATTTAGTGAACTCTTCAAATTCCTGTACTGGTCGAAGTCGTCGCAAAATTTCACGTACCTCTCCACCAAGATGAGTATCTCCGGCCGTCGATTTCACCTCGAAGATGCCGTTGTCGATGGCGAGGATAGATACATCGAAGGTACCGCCTGAAAATTGGGGGTTAACGCTGGAATTAAGCAAAGAATCTCTGCTAGCTTGCCATTTTCAATAGCCACTTCCAGGAAATAAAGTGGGTTTAAAAATTGAATTTGTTGAAATAAAAAATCCATTTTAAAGCGGCTTGAAGGCTAGCTTTTGTGCTGAACTCCTCAAGAATCGCTGCTAGACTACTTTCCCACCTTCTTTTTTGAAGACAAAGTTACCAATCCCTTTAAAAGCAGTATTAAACCTCTCAAAAACATACCTCCAAGATCGAAAATCAGCACGTTGCGTTCCCCGCTGGCCTTCTTGTCGAGTCCGTAAGCAATGGCTGCAGCCGTCGGCTCATTAATGATGCGCAGAACGTTTAATCCAGCGATGGCTCCGGCGTCTTTAGTAGCCTGGCGTTGGCTGTCGTTGAAGTAGGCGGGGACGGTGATGACCGCATCTTTGACGGCGTGACCGAGGAAGGCTTCCGCGGTTTCCTGAAACATTAAGTTTACTGGGCTTAGGCTACGGCTTAGGTTAGGCTTAGGGCTTAGATTTGGACCTACCTTCATCTTGGTCAGCACCATCGACGAGATCTCCTCGGGGCTGAAGCTCTTCTGCTCGCCCTTGAACTCGACGTTCAGCTTCGGCTTGTCGGCCTCGCCCTTGGTGACCTTGAACGGCCAGTGCTTCATGTCTGACTGCACGGCCGTGTCGTTGAACTTGCGGCCGATCAGGCGTTTCGCGTCTGAAATAGGAGAGATTATTGATTTGATCCGGGTTTTTCTATGTACCCAAATTCCCAAAGATCCTCTGCTAGCCTGCCCTTCCCATTAACTTCCCAGTCCCTTTAAAATACCTACCAAAGATAGTGTTGTGCGGGTTCATGGCGACCTGATTCTTGGCAGCATCTCCGATCAGCCGTTCCGTATCCGTGAAGGCAACGTATGAAGGTGTCGTCCTGTTGCCTTGGTCGTTGGCGATGATCTCGACCTTTCCATGTTGGAAAATGCCGACGCACGAGTACGTCGTGCCCAAGTCAATTCCGATTGCGTTCGCTTTCGGCATTTTGTTGAAAAAAGAAATTTAGGGATTAAGCTGCTTGGGGGTGTTGTTGTTGGTATATCTGGGGATGTACTTTGTTGTGAGGTTTGAGAAATTCGAGAGAGAGTGAGAGAGAGAGAGAGACAGAGGGAGAGCGAGAGAGGGATAGAGACAAATGGAGAGAGAGAGAGAGAGAGAGAGAGAGAGAAGGATGAGGCAGAGCAAATGTGAATTTAAATTCTAGAGATTTAGCAGCATTGAGGAAATCTCCAGATCGACTTTTTCTGACACGAAAATTTATAGAAACCTAGCAAATATAAAACTACTGATCTCAAAAACCGTAGCGATAGATTCAAACGCTAAAAATCTTCTGCTATTTTCAAATATCCAAAAGCTTCATTTTTTGATAATTAGTCGCAAATGGTCAACATTAGGCCCAAAATTTCAAAAAAAAGAAGCCGAAATTCAAGCCCAAAATATTTCTTGTTACCTCAAGAAGCTCAAAATTTTGATTTTTTTCAGAAATTGCTCAAAGCAAGGCAAAAATGTAAATTTTCAAAGGTGTGGACTACTGTAGCTCGGAGAAATTCTACGAAAAATGTGAATAAGAAAATGTTTCTAAAAATGGCTCTGAAAGGCTACCAGGAAAGAAAATGGAACGCAAAGATCGCCAAGAAAACTTCAAAACGCGAAAATTTTGCAGACTACTGGGTTACGGTAAACATGGAAAACGATAAATTTGAAAAATTATGGCCAATAGAACGTTTGAAAGCTAAAAGAAAGCAAAAGGGAGCCGCTAGATACGCAAGGAGCTTAAAAAACGACAGATATTATGCAAAAGAATACGGGATACGGTAGCCAAGAAAAAGGCTCAAAAATCAAATCCGAAGGACCTACCTTTAGTGCCATGATTAGTAGTGGTAAGATAGTAGCGGTGTGATAGCTGTGATAGCTTGTATGCAAGTTTCCAGAATAAATTTCTGGTATCGGCAGCCCGGGGGCGCGGGCTTATATACAAAACATAAGGACATCTGGGAATCTTCTCGCTGGTGCCAGCATCGCCTGGAAAAGGCCAGAGACAGCGGGGAGGTTCGAGAGCGAGCAGACGAGAGGGCGGTGAGGGAGGCGGGCTGGGGAGAGAGGGGCAGACTTGAGAGAGAGAGAGAGAGAGAGAGAGAGAGAGAGAGACCTTGCCCTTGCCTTGTTTACCGGATGGTCAGCAGCCCCCAAACAACCCGGGCCCCTAGGAATATTTTTAGGGGCTTGGAGGGTGTTTTCTAGACCCTTCTCTTGCTCAATCGCACGTACTCTCTATGGCATCTCTCACACTCTCACTCTCTCTCTCTCTTTCTCGCTCTCTCTCACTCTCTCTCTCTACCTCTATAATAGACGTAAAGTGGTTTGAGGATTCCCCTGTACTTTTTAGACATTAGATGTCTGATGTGCACAGAGAAGTGACAAATAAGGACTCGAAAACAACTGCGGGAAGCGAGCACGAGTTCCTGGTTGGTTAGAAAAACAAAGATAAAAAATCTATTGCTTAGTTCTGAATCAAAATTTATAGATTCGCATTTTAATCTGCTCCCGTTTTTATTATGCTTCAAAATTGGCAGGAATGGTAAAATGTGATCCAAGGTCCCTGAATTTTTGCGATATATGACTACAAAAATTTTCAGGTGACCAATTTTTAAAGGAAAATTATGTTTATTATAGTATGTACACTCGTTAAATTCCATCAAG